GGACTGCAGTTCAGTAGTGGACGAGCAACCAGAACTTTCCGCCAGAGTGTACAGCTGGTGAACGCGAAGAAGAAGAAGGATATGCACGTAAACCTAAATTTCTGGAACACAACCAGATCCAAAAGTGGGAGGACATAGAGAACTTTTCTTGACTACCTCTGATCGGGTGTTGAAGGATATATAATGTCCTGCTTCGTGCACTTCTGACTGCTTGGACAGTAGACACATCATGCTGTTGTAGAGTTTCTCTGATGTTATCTATGTTGTTCTTGGTCTACCTCTTGTCCTCCGTACTCCTCCTCTTCTAGTGTATGTCTTGTATGGTATAGCGTCACAGTGTATTCTCTGTAAGTGGCCAAACCATTTCCTTTTCTTGTAGTTGTGTGAAATTTAGAATTGGTTCTGTACCGGCTTCTTCTCCTTGTGCCCTCATTCCTGATTTGATCTCTTCTGGTCATTACTGCATCCCTTCTCAGTTATATGGTTACATTCCCGTTTGGGTTCCGGGGCCCTGTTAAAGGAAAAACAAGAATAGACCCACTGCCTACCCAAAAGCATGTCGTGAGAGTCGACTTATTGGGAGCTTCCTTCAAAGTCGGGGTGCATCTGCCTAAGAGGCAAGGAGCCATTCTGCATATAAATGAGTCAGATTTGTAAAACGGATGCACACGCAACACTCAAGTTCTAGAACAGGACTGCAGTCCAGAAGTGGATGAACACCCAGAACTTTCCGCCAGAGTTTACAGCTGGTGAACGAGAAGAAGAAGAATATGGTTACTTTTTCTTGTCTTTACTAGCTTGTTGTGAGTGACCACATGTCTGGCACTTGTAGCATTGAGTGGGGGTGATTATGCTTTGTATGAGATATTTCATTGCGCTGATCAGGATTGTCTTCTGCTTAAAGAGGGGAGCTAATTGTCCTACTATTTCGGATGTTAATTTCTTCATCTAGTTTACCATCTTCGTGTATGTTATAACGAACGTGTAAATAAATAAATAAATAAATAAATAAGTAAAGTAAGTTTTCTTATTCTTCGCCTTCAGCGACTGTAAACTCCGGCTGAAAGTTCTGGTTGTTCGTCCACTTCTGGGCGGTAATTTTGTTTAAGGAACTTGAATGTTGCATGCACATTTGTTTTACAAGTATGCAGACTGTTATAATATGCTGTCCTCTCCCTGGTGGATGCAGTTTTTAGTTTTTTTGAAGCCCTACCCTGACTCTTGCCAGGGGCCGCAACATAGCCCGGCCATAAATATGGCCTAATGGCTGAACGCGGTTTTTGGGAAATCTCCACGGGTGATCCTCATCCACATGGTGGCACTTTGTGTCATCGGGTGTTTATCGCTTGTGTGATGTCCTGGTGGGGTAAAAGAAGATAGATCAGACTGTTGGTTATTTGCCTCTCAGGCAGGTGTACTTCGACGTCGAAAGCCAGTGTTGCCACTTTGGATATTTTATATCCAAATTTAAATCTTTTTCATTGCATTTAGATACTGTTTTTGACGTTTAGATCGTAAATATTTTTCTAGAGACTTTTCATATGAGTTAGATATTTTTTAGATTTTTTTTTTCTTTCATTGTCAATTTAATAATTACTGTGTAAAATATTTACACTTATAAAGAAATTTGAACAGCTAAAGCATACCAGGGTCATTTTGGATCTGAAGCTTCAACTTCATTATCCAAGCTAAGTTTATCCTGTGGATCTTGTGAGGCAGACATCAGTGAAGGTGAGGATATGATTATGTAGGGTAAGTCATAGCAAAAGCTATGTAATTTTCGACTTTTTCAATTTGGATGTTTTTTCTATATCTTTTCCACGCAGATTTAGATCTTTTTAGATATTTTTTGACACCGTTTTGGATATTTTTTGTCAAAGAAAAGTGGCAACACTGCGAAAGACGCTCCCGGCTAGACGTCTCTTACGACATGCTTGTTAGGGAGGCACTGGATCTATTCTTGTTTTATCCACAACGGATCCTATAACCCATACGGGGAAGTAAAATAAAGGACCTTTATCACTCTTCCTGGTGTATTAGGCATATAGGGCTAGACCTATATTTTACAGTCACCGACAGGCGATGTGATTAACATCAAGCCATGGCTGTACGCAAACTTGAAATTCTGGAACAAGGCCAGATTCAGAAGTGGGAGACCTTTACTTCCATTACCTTTTCCTGGTACCGATTAAGGCTGGGTCGAAGTTGATATTTGAAGAAGAAAAAAGGCCGATTTGAACCCACGACCTTCGGGTCCGCCTGTAGTGTCTACCTGCTACACCACAGCGCCTCACACATAAATAAATATTCATAAAGAATATTTACATTAGTGCTTGAAATAAATGCTGGCTTTTGTACCTGAAAAAAAAAAAAAAAAACATCTTCTGGAAGAAAAAATTTGAATGTTGAATTAAGAATCGACATCACAACACTCAGGACACACTCCCATAAGCGCCCCGATCCCACTTTCAGCAGCAAGCCAAAAGTTCCAAATCCGCTGATACTAGCAACTATCTGATTGTATATCTGTCTCACGTTTCCCTGGAGTGTTGAGCATCGGCCAGATCCCCTGGTAACTCCTCGCAGTTACATTCTTCTCAGACCGTAATGCTCTGTTTGGAAGGAAAACATCTTAAGATGTCTTTTGAGGGGGGACAATTATTAATGTGACGCAGTTTTATTTTCTTGAAAATACGGTAAGCGATCAAGTTTAAACATATTACGCAAGTCGAAACCAGCACAAAGTGGTCAGCAGTCAAATCGCCTGCAGCTGGCTAGGCGGTTGTATTTCACCATCCCAAACGATCACCGGAATCACACACCAGACGAGGGCTCTTGTCTCACCCTTCCCCCATATAAATGGCCGAGCTACACTGAATTTTTTTCAAAGTTCAAAGTGATGTAAAGACGGTTCATCATCGGGTGGATCTCACTTATCTTCCCCGTGTGTGTTTCGGGACCCCATTGTGGGGAAACAAGAATAGACCCACTGCCTCCCCAATGCATGTCGTAAGAGTCGACTAATTGGGGGCTTCCTTTAAAGTCGGGGTGCTTCTGCCTGAGAGGCAAGGAACCAACAATCTGCCTATAATTAAGTCAGAACTGTTGAGCACAAGAAATAAAAGATGACGATACTCATACTAAATTGTCTTCTCAAGACTCGCTTCGTCGTCTTGTTAGACAGGATCAGTGTGTTATATTCAGACTAAGGACAGTGCACAACAGACTTCGACAACATAAGTGTTTTTTTTTAAGGAAACGGCGCCAGACAATTCTGAGTCCAACACTGTTGACTATGCTGCTAACAGAGACGCCATAACAGAGATGCCATAGCAGAGATGCCATCTGGCCTGTTCTAATGTCAAATCAAATGAAAGCTGTGTGGCACACATGGAGATATGGACTGCAGGATGGCTTTTATCAAGGCTGGTGGCCTCCTGATTTAAACTTTTCTGACAGAAGGATCGAATAACATCGACATGCGCATCGCCCATTGGCTGGCCGGTAGACGACTTCCTTGCCAGTCTGGACAGTATTTGGGCCCGTCTGCTTTGATCGCATCAACACTGCAAGAGTCCCTTTAGCGGTTACTTTGTGGCGAATAGCGCTAAATCCTTATATATGGCGCACATAACCTAGCCACAATTATAACCTAAAGCTCACCCTTCAGAGATGCTTGTTGAAGGTGACTATTTTTTCCCGCAAAGCATGCAAAGGATCTAATAAGAAGAAGATGTTGATTGTGAGCTGGGGTGATGACATATAAACCATCCAAATCGACCTTAGAAAGCAGCCTCTCTGGAAAAATGTGTTGACGCTGAAGTAAGGAGTTCAGATGAGTTGGCCCAGAAACTGGTATCCTAGCACTTGGGGCATTCCCGAAAGCACAGAATTCAGTTTTCGATGGAACTAGTAGAAGCCAGATTATATGTCCGTCTTGCCCTTTATCTAAATGTTGAGTCTCAGCCACATCTCCTAGCCACTCCACGCAACATCATTCTGTCTGGATAGTAATGATCTGTTGTGCTGCTGGTCTGATCACTCGCTTCCAAAGGGATTTGACCCAATTTAGCTTGTTATGAATCAGTGTCCCGCCATGAAGGATTTTAAATCAGTATTAAGGTTTTTTGTCTAGCATTGGAGTCCACTGCAGTAAAAGTCTAACATGCAAAAGAAGCCAAGTACTCATTTTGTCTTGTCTTGTCTTGTCCACAATTGCCTCACAGCGTAGTGGGGAGTCGCAGTTTTCCATCCTGGGCCAGGTGTGTTGCACGTGTTGTTGTTAGTCCGTGTTGCCTCAGGATCTCTGATATATTGTCTATCCATCGTACTCTCGGTCTGCCTCTTGCTCTAGGGCAGTAGTGCTGTTCATTTTGTGGTGTAGGTAAATGAAATCCCAGGTCTGCAGGCTTCACATTATTGGCTACAAAAGAGATAGCCCATGATGTATGAGATGTTCAACACGTGGAAGTGAGGTTAAACAGTCATGAGCAGGACATGACGATTCCTTGGGTGAGCCAAGTACCAGAGCACCATGTATTAGCTCTGCATTTGTGGAAGCCTTCTTGGATAGCGGGGAATGCTTATGTTCTGCCCCTGCCTTCTCTTGAGGGCTGATCAGCATTATGTGGCTTCTCTGGACCAGCCTGATTGGGGCACCACCTGTGACCTGGGAAATAAAGATGACCACACAACAATGAGACTGCCATGTTCCCAGAAACTAACCGGGAAGGCTAACCCGGTCATCAAATGCCCGCAGAAGTCGGATGTGTTGGCCGAAATATCGCAGCCATGCTGTAAACGGACACAACGCAATTACATCTTCGGATGAACGCAGAAGAAGAAGAAGATCTAGCATTGTTCTCCGCTTGAATTAAAACTAACAATCCTCCCTTCCCCCCGTTTCCAGCCCACATATAAAGAATTATTTATGAAATCCACAAAAGTATCTGTTCAGTTGTGTCAAATGTTATACAAAATCAAAGATTATTTCAAATAATTCAGAACATATTTGTTTCTTTACTAGTTTTCGAGGCCGATCTGTCAGAAACTGCAGGCAACATGGCGGCCACGGAATAAGGCAGAAAGCCATTGGTTAGTCTGGCGGCCATTGTTGCCGCTGCGCAGGCTCGGGCGTTGGTAGGGGTGACCAGGTTAACCGGCAGATTGGTCACTTCCGGTTTGATATTTAAACGTAAAGTTGTGGACACTGGCTGGCTGTCCACATCACGGCTGTCATCGCTACATGCATCGATGATAACATCACTATCATCATCATCGTCATCATCATTATCATCGTCAATATCAATTTCGCAATCATCTTGGTCGTCAACGTTGTTGGTAGTAGACCCTCTGAAGGTCCCGTCTCTTAGTTTGTCAGCCCAGGATTCGGCCATCGACGTGGAAAAGCTGTTTCTGAATAGATGATCTTTCGGGAAAGCTTGGGCTAGCGAGGGGGTTCCCATTCTTGTGTCATTTTCCTGGAAGATCTTACAGCTGTGTGATTCAGACTCGTCCAGACCTGAGGCGCCAAGGATTTGCAGTCTGGCATGAATTCTTTTGTGTCTTTCCAAGTTGCTTTTATGACTCGTGGCGTAATCGCAACTAGGACAGGTGTAATCTTTCTGGCCACTGTGTACTGAAAGATGGCGTTTTAGTAAAGCTTTGCGACAGAACCGACGGCCGCAGAAGGGACAGGAGTAACCATTGTGGTGAAAGATGGTGATGTGTTCTCTCAGAGAAGCTTTGGTGGAGAAAGTAACTCCGCAGCATTCAAGCTGTTTGTCGCAGGCTTGGTGCATGGTGGCAATATGCCGTTTTAGATTGTTGCGTCGATCAGTGACGTATCTGCAGTGTGGACACGGGAATAGCTTTCCTCTGAAGGTATTGCAGACCAACATGGCCAGTTCTAAATAGTTTCTTGTCAGAAATGGCGGTTTCAGTTTGGCAACCTCTCCAGCTAGGTGAGCCTGGTTCGCGGCTTGGATTTGCGCCATACTTAGGTACCTCAACTCCTCGTGATTTGGGAACATCCCCGGGTAAGGAAGCAGCTGGGAAGGCAAGGCGGCATTTGTGGCATGAACTGAATTGGAAACAGCGGCAAGATTTGTCATGGCTGACAACATCCCGAGGTTTAATCCGTTGGGCGGGATCGATGGAAGCTGCAGTCCCTGGAAAGTTGTCGCTAATGGTAACGTTGAACTGCACGGGGTCATGGCAGCAGAAGAGGTCAAGGTCGAAGGGTTGACATTGGCGGGGATTCTGACCTCATTTCCTGGGCGGATTCCGCAAGTGTGACTGTTGTTTCCGCCGAGTTGTGGTCGAAGTGCTGGGTGAATGAATGATCGTTCGTTTTCCTGGAGAAGTCGCGGCCGCTCCATCACACCAACTGACCTGAAAGAAGTGGGGGATGGTAGTTAGTAAGAGAAACATCACTGATACTCATAAACATGCACATACATATATATATATATAGTTTTTGTGTGTTAAATTACTGTGTTTTGTTGTTTCTGAAAACATTGCCGTTCCTGTTTTTGTAACCACCGCCTGTGGAGTTAATGCAACACGTACTGCTACAGTGTGTCTTATGTTAGGTTCCGTTTTCCAGGTTACAGCTTTGTTTGTTTGTTTTAGTATCCAGAAGCCATGAGTTGTTAACCCTTAGGCTCGGTATTATGGATATCGCAACCTATCGGGCTTGATTCCATTGTTAATACCGTACATCTGGGAGAAATGTAGCTTTTCTGCTTACCCGTGGGAGTGAAACCGGACCACAAGGAGTTTGTCACCCGGTCACCGCGCAACCCGGTTTAGCCAACTACGCTAGAGAGCCGGGCTCCACGTTACAGCTCTATTCGCAATTGATTTTACTGGTTAAATTGCCAACAGTATTAGGATGAGGCTAAGCACCTGTAAATTGGTTAAAGTAGAAATCTTGAGATCATGCATTTTCCCTGTGGCAACTTACGGTTATGAGTCCTGGACTCTCACTCAGTCACTGAGGAAAAAGATTGGAGCTTTTGAATTGATACGTTATAGAAACATTCTTAGAATAAAATGGATCCGGAAGAGGAAAAACATCGACATTCTGAACGAGTTGAACATCAAGGAGAACTGGCTCATAAACAGCAGCCTGTCCCGGAAGTTGAAGTATTTTAGCCACATCAAGCGTCATGGCGGCTTGGAAAAGACGGTGCTGGAAGGTGCAGTTTGTGAAAGCGAGGCAAGGGTCGACCACCACGAAGATGGATACAAACCATTGAAGATGCATTGGCATTAAAAGCACATAATGCCGGAGAGCTGGCTAGGGAAGTTTAAACTTTCAGGCGACGTTCTGTAAAGGACTTGTTGATTGATGATGATGATTAGGATGATTCACCTGAGTATCGGGAAGTGACATAATAAATTGTTGAACAGCCATATTCGAATACCTGCCATATTTATGGAACACATGCTGAATCAGAAATACTCTTTCTTCAATAGTTAACACCATTATAGCGAAAATTGAGTGATTTCCAAACTGTGCCCTGCGGCGCCCCGGGGGAGCCGCAACCTCTCTCCACACACACACACACACACACACACACACACACACACACACACACACACACACACACACACACACATATATATATATATATATATATATATATATATATATATATATATATATATATATATATATATATATATATATATATATACATCACAGCACTAGGGGCATTCCCATGCGTGATCCATCCTTATCTTCATCAATCAGCACAGAGTTCCAATACTGACGGTACCGGTCACAATCTGGTTACACGTCCGTCTTGTCTTCCCTCTGAGTGTAGTGAGCCGGCCAGACCCTCTAGTTACACCCAGGTACATTTAAAAAGAAATGTCTGGGGGAAAATTATGAAAATAATATGGAATGATCTCAAAAGAAGAGAAGAAAAAAGAGGAGTGTCTATGCAACCACAGGTATCAACAGTTATAAGACAGAGAAGATAGCGCTATATTGGACACATTCTGAGAAGAAACTAGCACAGAATCACCACACGGGCATTCGAATTAGAAATAAAGGTAAAGGATAAAGGTAAAGTCGGGAGATGTGAACCAGCGTCATTGCACACGGTTATAAACCATAACTGCTCTGCCACCAGTACAGACAGCTGATAAGAATTGTCCGTCTGTGTCGCTGTCCGCACGTAACTCCGTAGCTACAATTATTCATTAAAAAAAAAAAATAGTTGCGTATCTTTACAAGACGTTACAGAACCAACCTCAGCACTTTCTGGCTGTTGTGGTTTTTCTAGACAAATCTACGCCCAGTAGTTTGCCATTGCTTACTGGACGGTCAGCTCTCGGTACCGTGCTGGAAACCATCGCAAGACAAACCATCTACAGCTTCCTTCCCTGTACCATGCTTTCTGCTATTATTTTTTTTTACTCCGCGTTGCTTTCAACCACAATAGCTACAACACAAACTAAATAAAAGGTTAAAAGGTTAGTTGCGTATCCTTTACAGGACGTTGCAGAACCAACCTCAACAGCCCCTGGCTGTTGTGTGGTTTCTCTAGGCAAATTTAGGTCCAGTAGTTTGCCATTGCTATGGACGGTCGGCTTTCTTGATACCACTGTCGAAACCAACGCAAGGCGCATTGCCCGCAGCTGGGATCGAACCCGGCATCCCGGCATTACGAAGCGTATGCATCGACTTAGCCACAGAGCCGACACAATAGCTACTACACAAGCTAAATAATAGAAAAGAAGGTAAAAAATAATTACAGAATTCTGCGAGCGAAGCCATTTCTCCCAATTGCATAAATCACTTGTAGGCGCGATATATATCAAGATAATCAACAAAATAGACAACTGTGAAGAAAGAGACAGAACTGTTGACAAGCGGTACACGCAGTGTGACATACACACTGAGTTGCCCTCAGTATCAAAGGCGCCTTCTAACGAGCAATGTCAGACAATCTGAAGTGGCCGACAAAAGAGCCCAAATATAAAGAGTCGGGTTGGGTTTCCTTCGTGTCTTTTTCTAAACCGAATCAATGTTTTGTCCGCGTGTATGTTCGCTCACCGGGTGAGGCCTTTTTTGGGGTGAATATGCTGGAGGAATGTCTCGACAAGTTGATAAGCAGGATGAAGTGGTTTTTTTTTAACTTGAAAAATTGAGCCGGGAAGTTTCTTCTTTCTCTTGTTCTTCTTCTTTGTCTTCTTCTTTTTCTTTTTGTTCTTGCTCTTGTTGTTCTTGTTCTTCTTTTTGTTCTTGTTCTTGTTCCTGTTCTTCTTCTTCTTCTTCTTCTTCTTCTTCTTCTTCTTCTTCTTCTTCTTCTTCTTCTTCTTCTTCTTCTTCTTCTTCTTCTTCTTCTTTTTCTTCTTGTTCTTGTTCTTGTTCTTCTTCTTTTTCTTCTTGTTCTTGTTCTTGTTCATCTTTTTGTTCTTGTTATTTTTCTTATTCTTCTTTTCTTCTTCTTCTTCTTCTTCTTCTTCTTCTTCTTCTTCTTCTTCTTCTTCTTCTTCTTCTTCTTCTTCTTCTTCTTCTTCTTTCTTTTTCTTGTTCTTCTTGTTCTTTTTCTTGTTCTTCTTGTTCTTTTTCTTCTCCTTCTTCTTCTTCTTCTTCTTCTTCTATCTTCCTGTCGTTCCGTTTTGTATGCTCAGGTCAGACTATCAAGTTTGATGTTTCTATGAACTTGCATGTCAGTAGCAGGTCCTTCATGGTTCCCCACAGCTTGCTCTGCACACTTTGCTCTTGAGGTCAGGTTTCTCTTCGTAGCTCTAGGTAAAGTGGGGAGGTCTGCAGAATGTGCTCAGGTGTTTACGGTCACACGGTCGGGACTGTGCAATATTTATTTGAGGTATAAGATAGTTGAGCCTGCAGTGTCCTGTTCTTAGACTTGTATTTATTATGTTGTTTACTGTTGATTCTGCTGATGAGGGCTTGTGAATGTTTACTGTTGATTTTTCTATCTACAGTTCATGGTATTTTTCCGTGGTCAATGATGGGATTTCTGGTAATGGCAATGTTGTTTCTCCTTTGTCGTATTCTTTGCGAGACTGTCCACCATCTCGTTTCTTGGTATGCCGAAGTGGGTCGGCATCCGTTGGAGAATGATTTCATTGTTTGTTTTTTAGAGTTTGTTTAACTGGCGGTCAGTCCTGGCTATCCGTGTTGTCTCAAAGATCTACTTGAATCGCACCGACGAGTAAACAGGGACCTAGGCAAAATCAGATCTCTATGCAAAATCAGATCTTTATGCAAAATCAGATCTCTATGCAAAATCAAATCTCTATGCAAAATCAGATCTGTATGCAAAATCAGATCTGTATGCAAAATCAGATCTGTATGCAAAATCAGATCTGTATACAAAATCAGATCTCTATGCAAAATCAGATCTCTATGCAAAATCAGATCTCTATGCAAAATCAGATCTCTATGCAAAATCAGATCTCTATGCAAAATCAAATCTCTATGCAAAATCAGATCTCTATGCAAAATCAGATCTGTATGCAAAATCAGATCTGTATGCAAAATCAGATCTCTATGCAAAATCAGATCTCTATGCAAAATCAGATCTCTATGCAAAATCAGATCTCTATGCAAAATCAGATCTCTATGCAAAATCAGATCTCTATGCAAAATCAAATCTCTATGCAAAATCAGATATCTAACACTGATAGGTTATTCAAAAATCAATTTTCCGTCAGTTGCCTTGAGTTCCCCGTGTGGGTTCCTGGGCCCTATTATAGGGAAAACAAGAATAGACCCACTGCCTACCTAAAAGCATGCCGTAAGAGTCGACTAATTGGGAGCTTCCTTCGAAGTCGGAGTGCATCTGCCTGAGAGGCAAGAAACCAACAGTCTGCATACAAATTAGTCAGATCTGTCAAACGGATGCACATACAACACTCAGGCTCTGAAACAGGACTGCAGTCCAGAAGTGGACGAACATCCAGAACTTTCCGCCGGAGTTTACAGCAAGTGAACGCGAGAAATATAAGAAAAGAGTTGCCTTGACTAAAAACTAATCGTGTGTTAATTTAGGTAATTTATGGTGCTGTTTCAATGGTTTGAATTATTTCTGTCTGCGTTTCACACTTGTGAATTGGTGTCTGTTTGCGTTCATCAGCTATAAACCCCGGGGGAAAAGACCTGACTGTTCGTCCATTTCTAGACTTTGGCTTTGTTTCAGGACCTGCGCTTCACATGCGCATCCGTTTTACAGACCGTTTTTATTTGTGTGCAGACTGTTGGTTCCTTGTCCGCCAGGCAAATGAGATCCAACTTTGAAAGAAGCCCCCAGTTAGTCGACTCTTACGACATGCTTGTTTGGGAGGCAGTGGGTCTATACTTGTTCTCCCACAATGAGACCCCGGAACCCTCACGGGG